GAATGCAATGTATTGTCATAAATCCTGGGACCAGTGATTTACCTGGCAGATAAAAAAGGAAATGATAAAGAAACATACTGCTACAAGCCAAAGGGGACAAATAGGGAAAGGCACTGAAACTGGAGCTGGTAACCAGGGAATTCATAGAAAAGTCTATTTTTAGATTTATTGTTACCCTGAACTCTAGATATAAATATTTCCTGGATTTGTTTTTTAAGAACAGCAATTGCATGTTTTGTGTGATAATGCTGGCACTTAGATAGCCCCAATTAGGCTTTTATGATCATAATCTATTGCGATAAATGGAATGGTGCTTTCACTTTTCCTACATCCGCTGAACATTACAGACTTGCTTTGTTGTGAACACTTACTATATTGGTCTCACACATTGCCTGTATCTATGTGGGAGGGCCTCTGCACCCTTTCACAGCTTCCTGAAGTCAATAGGGCTTCAGCCATAAGGGTACTTGTGTCCACCCATAAAAACATTGTAGACATGCACAAGTGCTGCATTTGTATTTGAAACCCACAACAGTGAAACCTGGCAACTTGAGAAAACAAATGCTCAGAGGTTAGATGTGTTTGATCATAAGTGCTAGTGGAGAATATTAGAAGTAAGCTATGAGGAAATAATTGCAAATCATTTGTAAGAGAAGACATAAATGGCTAGGGCATGTGTTACAAATGGATCATAATCGACTACCGATTATGCCTCTCATTTGGAAGCCAGAAAATCCAACAAAGAAAGAGGGGGTCGATTTAGGATGACTTGGAAGCATGTGATTATAAAAGACATAGACATATTTAATTTGAAATAGGAGGACTTAGGTCACATGACAGCTGATAAGGAAGCATGGAGAATGTGGGTAGCCCAGTATGCTGAAACATGGGAGGGACTAAGGTCTAAGGCAGGGGTCGGCAACCTATGGCACACAAGCTGATTTTCAGTGGCATGAGTGGCAGGAGCTCAGTCCTGCCGCTCCTCTCCCATGCAGCCACTGGAGAGCCCTCCTTCTTCTTCATAGCAGGTTAGGCTGTGGCGGAAGGAGGCAGTGCTGTAGCTGAGGCTCCTTAGAGGCGCCTATGGCCTCCAAGGCTGGCCCAGGACCACCTGGCTGCAGCAGCGGCAGTGGTGCCTCCGGGGCTGGCCCAGGACTGCATGGCCACAGCAGTTACTATAAGGGGGCACAAAGCCAGGTAAGCATCCCTCCTCATGCTCAGACCCCACACTCCAATCCTCCTCATTCACTCCCCTCACCCCACCAAGACCCTGCACCTCCAGCTTGCTCCAATACCCTCCCTTGTTCCTGCACCCTCCCTTCTGGCCAGACACCCTACCCCCATCCTGGTCCTGCACCTTCCCCCATGGCCTGACCAGATACTTACCCCACCCTGCTCCTGCATCCAACATTACTCCTGCACCCTCCCTCCTGGCCACACACTGAACCCTCTCTTGCTCCTGTTCCCTCCACCCAGCCAGACACCCTACTCTCAGCATACTTCTGCACCTTACGTCCCACCCACCCCTAACAACCTCTCCCCCTTCTGCAACCCACCTCCCTCCAAGATTCTGTACCCCATCCATACACCACTAGCTGACAGCCCTGTCTCACACACTGAACCCCTCATTCTTGTCTCTACCCCAGAGCCTAAGGAGATCCATTAAATCCACTAACTCTGGAACCTCAGAAAAGTAAATCTGGCCTATGGCAAACCCTGAACCTCAGTCCTCCCTGTCCCTTCCCCTCACCCTGTGAGACTGGAGTGCCAGAGGAGTGAAGTGTCTCCATTGGGAGCCACATCAGTGAGGGTTGGGGGTTTTTGGAGAAGTTTTTTTGCTTCTTACTTGTGTGGTCCCCAAATTATTTTTCTATGAGTCAGTAGCCCCCAAACAAAAAAAGATTTCCCCTCCTGCTATAAACAAACAAAAAAAAAGTGAAGCCTTTTGTGTTGGACATAAAGTAACTTTATTTACTTTACTTCATTTAAAATGAAGTTTGATACACTAACATAAACAAGTTAAAGCACTTAGTCTGTTTAATAATTTAAATTAAACCATTCTCCCTAGCTGCAGCTCGTTCAGAAAATATGGTCACTGTACCCAGCCTACCCAAGCCTGCCCCTTCCCCTTCCTTTCCCTGGCACTTCTATATGTAAATAGAAGGGAATAGATTAAATCTTGGCATGCCACTTCTGAAAGGTTGCCAACACCTGGTCTAAGGCCTAATAGTAAAGCTTATCATTATGGCATTTTGCCGTAGGAAACTCTGCAACATTGCAGCACTACTGCAAACAGAAAGCACTGACATTGCAGCTGTGTTATTACAAATAGCCCTTCTGGCACAGTCCTACAATACACCTGCACCCACTCATTTGTCCACTCTGTGCAATATCTCCTGTGTTCTTGAGTATTTTCATGCTTTGAGTAGCTGTCATTTTATGCATAGAAATTTTCGGTTTTACAAGGCACAATCTTAAGGCTTTCTTTGTTTAAAAAATGCACCATGTATTGGCATTTTATTTTTCAAAATATGTGATGTTACATAAAATAGTCATTCATGCATTTCAGTTTTGTTTTATGTTTTTAAAAAATTGATTGCTACCTCAGTTTTAGAGAGTGGTGCTGAGTGCCCAAAATGCATTGATCCTGCAATGGTGAGTATGAGCAGTTACCAGTTCTAGACACTTTATACAGGGTCTCACTGACCAGGATGTTTAATGTGAAGATTTTGATCAAGTTACAATGGTCCAGTCAGACCTTTGCAACAATATATTTCTTTCATACAGATAGAGGTTTTGAGTTAAAAGGATGAACTACTATTATGTGGACTCTATCTTTAAAATGGAAAAAAAATATTCATTTGTTAACATTGTGCTCACTCTTTTTTAAAAATGGGAAAAGATAATCATTTATATAATCATTTATATATCTACTTACAATATTGTAGAATTCAGTCACATTTTCAGAGAGATCCTAAACCACATGACCTGCAATTTTATTTGCATGAATAATTTTCTCCTGACCTTAAGGAATTATTCTGGACAATATCATTGTGTATGTTTCGATAATAGATTTGCAGTGTCCCTCATGTAAATTATTCCAGGAGACTGACAGTAGCAATCCCTTTGTCAACCACATTTGAAAAGGCTAATGTGCAATGAAGCCTCAAAGAAAATGGCATTTTATAGGCCCTGTTAAAATCTTAATAGGTGCCTATTGATAATGTGTTCAAAACTGCAGCTGCACTTGACAATATAGTGCACCTATTAATACTAAATATTATATTACCATATAATTTTTTTAAACCAAAGTTCAATGTTGTAATGATTATTGCATTGTCTCTGATATTTATATGGCTAGGATTTGTAATCCTTTTTTTAAAAAGCAACAAACTGCATTTAATTGGAAAAAAAGAAAATAATTTCTTGAACATTTTTAGGAATATTTGTCCCCTTTTTCATCAAAATTTTGACAGCAATTTTAAATCATCTATAAAACTAATTAGAAAATGGAAAACATTCTTGTTTCTTTTCCTTTTTCTATTGAAACTGGAAGACCTTTTGCACAAGAACTCTAGTGCAAAACAGTTCTTGTGCAAGAAGCATGCAGTGTAGACATAGCCCCATTGTTTGATATTCAAGTTCTATGAAGAGGTTAAAAAACTTTTTTTGCCTTACATGAAAACCTACATCAGCTTTCAGTGTTAATTATCCCTCACTTCAGTTACACATACTATGAGCACATGTTTTCCCAGAATGACGGTAACTTCCTCTTGGCTGCTGCTGAGAGTGAAATAAGACCCAGATAAAATTGTCCTTGTTACCTGTGGTGATATGAATGCTTTTATATTTTATTCTAACATAGAAACTATTTTTATTATATTTTATCTGAGTAGTGTATTATTAATGGAAACAAAACTTTGATTTTAAGAGTCTTGTGATTGTTTAAAAAACTCTGGGAGACAAAGGTTGTGCTGTAACTGTAAATTGATTGCTAGACATTATCTTAATAGCCGTCATCTGTAACAATTGCCTTAGTTCTGGCTGCAAAACAGTTTCAATCATATAACACTTTTTTCAAATGCTGATAACATTCAGAAATATCACCTACTTGGTTAAAACATTTCACGTGATATTTGTGTTCAGCTGTGATTTTTTTTTAAATTTTGAACAAAACGCTTTTTAATTCATGGATGGAAGAGGAATAAAGCTTTCACTTTTTCTCTTACTTTGCAAAATATGCTGTTCTATCTTTTGGAGCAGAGTATATAACAGCTGTATGCAAAATCATCTTTGAATAGAATTGGTCAGTGATGAATTCACAGGTATAGATATGTGGGCAGAGTTGGCATCGTTTGTGGTTGCAGGGCTGGGTTCCTGGAGGCTTATGATGTGGTTGTGTGGCGTGGTCACCAGAAAGAATTCATTTCAGGCTGGGGGGTTATCTGTAAGCAAGAATAGGCTTTTTTCCCAAGGCCTCTGAGAGTGAGGGATCATTTTCCAAGATGGGTTGTAGGTTGTGTATAATGTGTTGGAGGGGTCTGAGTTGTGGACTATAGGTAACAACAAGAGGAGTTCTGTTATTTTCTCTTTTGGGTCTGTCTTGGAGTAGTTCATGTCTGGATACTTTTTTGGCTCTGTCAATTTTTTTTTCACTTCTCCAGGTTATAGTCTTTGAGCCCACATCTAAGTACAGGGACCAAAATAGACACATTTTTTGCAGGTGTAAGTGTTTCTCACTGTAAGATCAGGCTGGAATGAGGCTTCTGTACAAATCTGGCTCATAATGGAAGAAACAAGCAGCAGGGAAGTAAATTGAACAACATATATGGAACAAGATGTGATAATGTTTCCCTTCTTACCTCTCACCTGTGAAAACACATGGATACAGTGGAGCATCATCCATTCTCTTCCTACAGATGGTAATACAGGTTGAACCTCTTTAGTCCAGCAACATCCGCGATCCATTATAATTTTAGTTAGCCAGATGTCCATTTATCGTGTGTGGCCAAGTTTCCCTTGGTCCTATAAAGTTTGTTTACAATCACTATCCCTGATTCTCAGTATTCTATGCTATTATTTAACTCTCATTTACCCCTAAATGTCTTATAAGAGCCCAGTAAGCCGTGGAGGTGTTGGTAATGCTGCTAGGCAATACTGACCTCCCAGGGTTCGGCAAATACTCTGGTTTGCCACCAGTTAGGTCATAAGGGTGCTGGACTAGAGAGGTTCAACTTGTATTAGTATCAAGTACATACCCAGAAATAACTTGTTCCTGTTATAGTCTATTTTAAATTATGTTGGGGAAACAAATGCATTCATTGCTTGTTTATGGGTCTCAAGATTCTAGATAGTCCAGAGTGCAGGGACATTGTCTGGTTAATCCTCTCCATTGCTGGGAAAATTTCAGCCTCAATTGATTTTTCTACTGAAGTGTAAGAGGAAGTGAGGCAAAATAGAAATGTGCCCTTTGGCAAATGAAACAGCCTGACAGGAGTCAGGAGAAACCATGCTAGTATATAGTATTACAGCAATTGGAGGTTTACATATATTGCCTCATATTTAGACCTGCCCCAATTACTTTCTTATGCAACTGTCTTCATGGCACATTATATCATGGAAAAAAGGGTGAGGCAGGTATGTATGCTCATTAACTGCAGTTGTCATTATTTTTGCAAACTGAGCCCTAACAACATTGCATCTCTGACCTGCTGAGGAAAAAATGCACTGCATAAACAAATGAATGAATGCAGATTCTTAGGACAAGGGGTACTATTTTTTTCTAGTCTATTAAGATTTGTGTGTGTTTTGCTGGGAGCATAGAGTTCTGCAGGCAGAGTTCTTCAGGGGTAAAGGAGGTTCTCAGGAGCATTTGGGGAGTACAAAAAAAGGGAAGACGGGAGGAAGAATTAGCACCCGTGTGCACAGATGCTGACTTTTGTTTTTACCCATGATGACTCCAACTCCCCACATCAAGCAGCAGGTGGGACCTGGGGAGGAAGGGGCAGAATGGGGGGTGGAGCCTCAGGGCAGAACACTGGCAGATTTGGGGAGAGAACCGTGGTTCAGGAACCGAGACCCACAAAAAATTAATCCAGTCCTGTGAGTATGGAGCGCCCTCTCTTTTTTTCAGTGGGTGTTAGAGCTCTGGAGCACCCCCAGAATCAGTGCCTATGCCTGCATGCCTTCTCTTGCCGCCGAACCTCAGAGATGAGCTATAAGATGTTAAATAATGGGCAGTTCCCATTCTAAATGGTTGCTTCCCAAATTGAAATAATTTATATACATGTGCTGTATACACAGATACATGGATCAATTAGTCCTTCTTCAGATAGTCTGGAAAATGCCAGTGGAAAGTTAGTGATAACACCGATCCTAATTTCTACCCTAGACCAGTTTTTTTTTCCAGATAGTTTGTACCTTAAGGCAAGTTCCAGCATTTAATGGAGATAGCTTTCTCTCCCTGGGGCAAAGTTCCAGGTGTGGTCAGATCGTCAGTTTCATTGTGATCTCAGTTAAATCAGGAGTGACTGTAAGTGAACAAATATAGCCAGTCCTCTATGAAAACCACAGTGAGGTACAAACACAATTATTCTGAACTGTGTTTTGTACCATAGGAGGTAAGCCTTTTGATCTGTCAAACCGCTTCAAATTTTGAAGAAAAAGAGTAATATAGCACGCTTTTGTTCTATATCATTTTGTTACATTAGGGAAAGCTCTTAATGATAACTCCTGGGTAGCGCTCTAGTAACGATCACATCTCCCCATACACAAAAATGGGGCATGCTGGAATAGGACAGTGATAGAAATTCATGCAGACATTATGAATTGAATGGAAAAATGCTTTATGCAGTTAGTTTCTAATCTCCTTCTTTCAGCTATTACTCAAACAATGGACATAGGTGTGGATCAGCCCTCCTGTATCACACCCTGACCCACCAGTGGGTTTGCAAAAGTACAACATGCCCCAACCCTCCCCACCACTGACAAGTGCTGTGCAGGCCAGCACTGTCCAAAAATGAAAAGTGTCATTGGGAGAGTAGCTCTAGTAAGAGTTAAGCGGGGACATGCCAGTTTTGCATATTGTCAAGGCAGTTGCCATATGGGTATCTTCTGGAACTTCCAGCAAAACTTCCATTCCCTGGCAGAGTCTATTAGTGTTACCACCCCCCTTCACACAGCTCAATCCCTCTTGAGTAGCAAAGCAGGGAAGAAAAAAAAATTTGCAAATTGTACTACAGGTTGAACCTCTCTAATATGACACTCTCTGGTCTGGCAACATCTGTGGTCTGGCATGATTTTAGTTAGCCTGAGAGCCACTTATCATGGGCATGGCCAAATCTCTCACAGTCCTATAAAGTTTTTTTATAGCCCCTAGACCTGGCTGTCAGTGTTCTGTGCTGTTATTTAGCTCTCATTTATCCAAAGGTGAAAGTAAGCAGGTGCGCCCTGGTGCACAGCTATGGCAAGAGCTGGCTGAGTGGCAGCAAAAGGCTGCAGAGAGCTATTTAAAGAGCTGGCAGGGGCCTGGGTTGCAATAAGACAGTACCTGTAAGAAATTGTAAGTAGCGTTCACTGCTGAATTTACCCCTAAATGTCTTGTAAGAGCCAAATACGCAGTGGAATTATTGGTAATGCTGCTACATAATATTGACATCTCAGGGTTCAGCAAAATTTTTGGTTGGCACCTGTCAGTCCTAGGTCCTACAGGTCTTGTTAAACCTGTAACAAGAATGAATCTGGCCCCACAAATGCAAGTTCCAGGGGCATCTTTTGAAAACAAACATAACTGTCTGGGCTCAGTCAAAAACTGGCTTCACGCAGAGGATGGGTTCTACCCCTGAATGTGGTTGGATAAACTTTATATAGAAGAAATTAGAACACACACAGGCTATGTCTAGACTGCAGGCTTCTTTCGGAAGAAGCTTTTTTCGGAAGGGATCTTCCAAAAAAACTTCTCCCGAAAGAGAGCGTCCACAATGCAAAAGCATATAGAAAAAGCGATGCGCTTTTGCAAAAGAGAGCGTCCAGACTGATTGGACATATAAAACATATAAAATTACCCAGAACCAGTTCAGCCAGGGCTTTAGGTCACTAGTTGCTTCCGAGTGCTGGTGCTGGAGCCTTACAGAGACACATGCTTAAAGGGACCCTCCTGAACAGCCATTTCTCTGCTTCTGCTGCGTGCTTGTTACCTCTTTGAGGGACAGCAAAATTCTCGTAGTGCCTGTTCTGGTTGCCTTGTTCTTTTTTGGATGCCACAGCTTTTTCCTTTGAGCCATGGAGCCGGAGCTGCCCCTGGGCATGCAATGGCACCACTCGGCCATGCTGCAGTTTTTGTAGCACTTTTTTCCAGCTGCCTTCCTGGACCTGCACAAGCTGGACCCTGAGCTCATTCTGGGGATCCTCTCCCTGAGTGCTGCTGCTCCACTTTGGCAACCGCACCCCACACTGGAGAGGCATTTTTGGTGGCGGGACACCATGTCGGACTGGTGGGACCGGCTGGTCATGGAGCGGTGACAACCAGCAGTGGCTCCAAAACTTCCACATGCAGAAGGCCACCTTTTAGGAGCTATGTGGCGATGCGACACTCTCCTGTGGCCTGCCATCCTCCTGGAGAAGAGGGTTACAAAAGCCCTCTGGACACTCGCCTCCCCCAACAGCTACTGGTTGGTGGGCAACCAGTTCGGCATGGGGAAGTCCACCCTCCTCATGGAGGTAAGGCACTGTATGGTGGAGAGAGTGTTGGAGAAGGAGGACCCTTGGGAAAGGGGAATTTGGGGCTGTGGAGATGGAGTGGAGGCGAGAGGGGGGAGTCCCATCCCCAGGGGGTTATGCTGTTCCATCCTCACACAGTCCTGCTGCTGGGGGGGAGGGGGGCACTTAATAGAAGGTGGCTCCTGGGGTGTTTGGGCGGGCAGGGGAGGGGAGTATGGCAGGTGCCTCCCAAGGGCTCAGGCACCCCCTTTCTCATTCTTTGTTCTGTATGTTTCTTTGTCTCCTTCTTCAGGTGGTGAGGGCCATCAACTCAATCCTGCTGTGGAGGGCCATCCATCTGGATTTGCTGCCCTGGGGTTCCCGAACTGCGTTGGAGCTACTGATGGGACCCACATCCCTAGCCATGTATTGGACTATCAAGCAGCCCCGTACATAAATTGAAAGGACTACTTTTCGATGATGTGCAGGCCCTGGTCAACCACTGGGGACACTTTACAGATATTTTTGTTGGGTGGTTGGGCAGGGAACACAATGTCCAAGTGTTCAAACACTCTAGCCTGTACCACAAAGCACATTCTTCCCCCACTGGGACTTTTCTGTTGGGGACGTGGCCCACCCTCTCATGCCATGGCTGATGAAGCCATACACCAGCCACCTGGATCCCAGCAGGGACCAATTTAATGCCCACCTGAACCGGGCCTGAATCCAAGTGGAGTGCACCTTCAGCCACCTCAACGCATGTTTCCGGTGCCTGTTGACCTGCCTTGATGTGGGGGAGCACAACATCCCTGAGGCGGTCGCAGCATGTTGTGTCCTCCACAACACTGTGGAAAGGAAGGGGGAGGCTTTTCACCTGGGGTGAGAGGCAGACGCTGGCAGCGAGATGCAAGCGTTTGAGCAGCCGAGGACAGCTGCCATCCACCAGGCCCATCAGGCTGGGGTGCGCATCCAGGAGGCCCTGAGGGAGAGGTTCTCTCAAGGACCCCAATAATTCCCCCCAGGGCCTCCTTCCTAGGGTTCTCTGGCTTGTGGTCTTATCCCTTCCCCACCACAACCTCTTCTTTCACCCTTTCCCTGACCTCTGAATAAACACACCTGTTTGGTTTTCAAAAAAATGAGGTCTGTATTTATGAAACATTCAGAAAAGGTGGGCAGGCGGAGAGGAGCTCATAACTGGGAGGGAGGGTGGACAGCTCAATGTGCCACCTCGGGTTCAGAGACCTTGTTGGAGCTGGGGTTGGGTGGGTCTGGGGAGCACAAAGGCAGGTGGCTGGAGT